TAACGAAAAAATGGCATCCAAGTTCAACCGAAGAGAGCTGAAACAATGGTTGCAGGCACTCTGATTTTCCACCGCGGCCCATTGCTTTAAAGAGCCGGCGGTATACGGATGCCTAATAATGTAGCTTAATAGACTGTGACATGGCAAGACTAATACTGTAAATAGACCAATAATGTTTCTGCTTTCTTTTATTCTAATAATGTGGCGATGCTCCCGCGAAGCAGGAGAGTAATGACCCGCACGTGTGGAGGTGGCACAGGGGAGAGCGAGCACGCGCGTCCGCGTGCGCGCGCACCCCCCCATCAAAATTCTAAATCCACAGCAAGGCTTTTCATCATCAGCGGAAATGGATGGGCCTTACGAATTAGATGAATAAAAAAACAAACCACCCTCAATAATCTTAATTATTGTTTTTTTTTCTGATTTGTGTAAGTTGTGCGTTAATGTTAATGCACTGTAAATCTTCATGGGGAACAACAGAAGACTGCAATTCGGTGAAAGACGAGCAGCATTAAGTAAGGATTACAAAGTGGGGAGTGCGGGGCGACTGTGCACCATATTGTAGCCTACATCTGCCTTTAAATCCACAACAAATTAATATAAGCGTTGGAATCTGTTTGATGGTTAAGTTCCGATTTATTTCACAGTGGCTTAAAGAAAATTGCCAAATAACCTGGAGCAAGGAGGGGAATACTGTACTAAAGCAGTTGCAGTTCCTCCATTAAATCAACCATTTAATTGTCGAAAGGGTCATTTTGAGGGAGATTGTCACAAATTAAAATCTAAATCAACGTGTGGTATTTCAGACTTGAATTAGAGTACGTTTTAAGGGAGGTGGTTGGTGTTTTTAAATATGGTAATCACTCACCCGGGGCATGCGTCATTTATTGACAGATTTGATGTTAAATGTCTCGAGCTCACTTAGTACTGTGGCTCTTAATTTATTACGTTTTGAGCTCTCCACGCTTCTCTTCATCATCCTCTCCGCTTTGACCCTCTGAGGTCACACAAGCAATTCTTTTTTTTTAAACGCATGATTAATTTCTCAGCAGGCCGACCGACAAAAGCATTATGAAAAAGTGAAGTGTATTCCAACGGGGCTAATAGCGCTATTGTATTCCAATAAGCCTTTTTCCTGCTTCACATGGTTTAGTCACGCTCCCATTTGAAAACACGTCAGAGACATCTTTATGGACACCAAAAAGTTGTTACAACGTCCGCCTCTCAGAAAAGGTTTAATTTCTGTTCAGAAAGACAAGAAATTCACGTTTTATTGGCTGATGTATTCAGACAATGTACATGACACGGGCTTTTCACAAAGAAAAAAACAAAAGGAAAAGGAAAAAAAATGCAAAAATAAAAATTCCAGAAAATTTGACAAGTTTTTCCTCAAATTTTCTATTTTGTTTTCTTTAAAAAAAATCAGCCCCTACAACTCTTCCAGGCTTTTTGCATCTCAAATCTTCGTCTTGTGACGTCAGCTGCGGCCCGCGCGTGCCCCCGGTCCTCCCCCCTCTCCTTGCGCCCCCACCCCCCCTCCCGTCCCATCGCGGAGTGTTCCCGTGGCGTCCCTCCGCGGAACAAAAGCACGCGCGGTGACAGCCTAAATTGGTTTGAAAAGGAGCAGATGGGGCTCGTGCTCTCCTCTGTGTGGCACACGCGGGGAGCTGCGCACACACGCGCAGATTTAAGGCTGAGCCTTAAAAGCAATCCTGTCATGTTTATCAAGACGCCATTGTGCGGGGATTGCGCGAGAATAAATTACAGCCAATCTCAATATCCAGCCGCCATTTAACCTGTCGACCAGGTGCTCAGAGACACCGACAGAAGACTTAGGATAAAATGCTAAAAACAAGTTGGATTAAAATGCCATTGTTTTGTTCCTTCAAAGTATTTGTGGGTCATTCTTTCTAAACCAGTTTAATGATTTTAAGCTCATCAAAATTCAAATTTACACGAAACCCTTCAAACAGTGCATCACGATACCTTTAATGTCCAGGCTAAGTATTTGTGTGTAAAGAACATCAAAGATGGAGGACTATCAATAATATTGTGGGGAAAATACATCCTAAAAGCTTTTAAGAAATTTGTGTCATCGCATAACACGCACACACAGTTAAAAAAAAAACTTGTCGTTGGACAGATCGTGAGCATCGTGTGTCCGAAAACATGCTAACCGTGTTCCCTCAACTCAACCCATGTCTGTTACTTCCGGTGCCACGTTCCCAATTTATCTGTCATGGGATGAAACATGGCCAGGATTTGCCCCCCTAACCACTTTTGTTATTAATCAGTTTTAATTACAGGAACAGAGAATATTTGTGTGTACACTTTGAAGCACAAGTGAGGGCCAATGACGACTTGAAGACCCCCCTCTCACACCTTTCCGGCATTTCCTAGTGACGCGTTTGAGGAAACTTAAGAAAATCGTATTTGTTATGCACCGAATTCGTTTGTTTAGAGGTGTGTTTTTCAGCTTTAGCGGCGTAGAGTTTGGCAGTGGATTCTTGGCCTTTTTCAAAGAACTCTGGCAGAAATAATATCGCTTCCGAGATTTTTAGGGCCCTGCTCAGGTGAATTGCTACTGTGTTTTAAAGCATTGTACGCTGGTTGGGAGCTCCTCTTACCTTCAATTACAACATGCGATAGCCTATAGGCTACAGTGTGCTTCCTGCTGCCTTTCATCCCAAGGGAACAACCTGCACACGTATAGAGTCATATTTCGAAAAGCCTGAATGTGGGTATCAGCTGCTCTGACAGACATTACTCTGATCCCCAGACTGCCTGCCTGCCTGCCTGTCTGTCTGCTGTCTCAGCTTTTATTTTGCCTTTCTTCTGCCCCTACGGTCAGACTGTTTCACTCCAGCTCCGTGTCGGTGTTTAAAAGGCGCGTTTGCAGAGGCCAGGCTCGTCTTCTGTCCGTCTCCGTTTTTCTGCTGCCAGCTGTAGTAGTTTGCTGGTAATTAACTTGTACTCGGAGCGCACGTGCAGTCGACCAGCAGACACCCATCTGATGTCTCCGGCTTGTTCTTTAGTTATGACTGCTTTTAGGGGCCGCGCGGAAATTAATTTGAAATTCTTATTAATTAGGTCACTAATATAGGCCTAGTGAGTAAATCAGCTAAAAATAATGCTACACCTAAATTCTGGGTTGCGCTTGACGTGTTGTCATCACGGTGCGTGAGGCTAGGCTGCTTCGTTACAGGGCCGATGCCCGTGGGACACGCGCGCGTGCACGCGCGAACCCGAGTTCAATCCGAGGCTTGTTAGTCTCCTTAACCTGTGCGCGGTCTCAGGTTCGACTTTTTTTCCGGGACTGTCAGTGAGCTCCGGCCGTGTGGCTGTTTGGTCGGACGGAAAGTCAAGGCACACGAACGAGAGGAGGAAGAAAGTGAACGTGCACCAAAGCGTGCGCGAGCGTGTCTACGGGATGGTGGGATGAGCTCGCGCTCGACGCCAATCAAACTCAAGGCAGGTGTGCGTTCACGAGAGAGAGAGAGAGAGAGAGAGAGAGAGAGAGGCAGAGAGAAAGAGAGAGAGAGAGGGAGGGAGAGTGAGGGAGGTAGGAGAAGAGAGGGGGCGGATTATGGCGCGTGGTGTCTCTGAAAAGGAAATAAAGCCGCGCGAGCGACGCAGTTTACTCACATCTCACGAGCGGGCTCAGTTCACAGTTGAAGATAATAGCCGGTACACATTCCACGTGCTTCCCGGATATAATTAAATACGTTCGCGTGAGAGAAAATGAGTTTTTTAAAGCTGTGTAGGCGAAATCGATTTGTGTTGTGACTTGGAAAGCCCATCTCTCTTTTTTTACTTTAAACGCGTTTTTTGGAAATATTCCCCATAGTTGGAGGTAAGCAGTGCATGTGTCGCCGTGTTTGTTGTGAAGTTGTCTGAAATGTTAAGAAAGCGAACCTTCTGTGTCTGATTACTTAGCACAACCAAAGATGGGAAAAACAGGGAATGTGTTTGAAAATGTATATGGTACATCTGTCTGACATTTCCATTGTGTATAGTATACACTAACTGTAGAATCGTGTATTATCCTTCTTTTTTGTATTACTTCTTCTTCGTTGGTATTTTTAATAATATTGTTATTATCGTTTTTGTTGAGCAGGATCATCGTAACTTTATCACATTGTAAATAACTTCCATAGATATTAAATGTGACCTCTGATAAGAGCGGTGATAGTCTGTTAATACTACTTTGCCTCAAGTATAACCATTACTAATGTTAAATATTTTTTATTATTATTAAATTAATTTTGTGCTCTGGTGTAAATTCAGTATTGGCTTCGCTTGGTTATGGGCCCAGACTAACTCCTTTTCCATTTAAGTGGTCTGTGAAAACATACGTTTAGCAAGTAATTGTTCATTTATTTACACTTTGAGTTGAAAGAAAATTAAACTTTTTTTTACTTTGGACATCTTTTTTGGATTGAGTTCATTATGCCTTTATTCCTCTCACCAGCCGCCTTCCTATGTGCAAAGCTATCATTTGATCCGCAAATGATCACGAAACAGATTTGTAAAAATAATCAGGAATACTCTGCTTTTTGCCCTTTAATGAAAAAAATAATGATGTAGTAATTTCGAATTTTCTTTTCCACGCAACTGGTGTACATTCTCTGACACGCTGAAAATTATTTTTACTGTTCAAACGTACCGTAAAGTATGTGAAAAAATGTTATTTGCAAGAACTTAAAAAAGTAAGAAAATAAGTGGGATTTCTTGAAAGAGAAATACAATCTTCCAAAGTTCGGCACCAGAGAGGTCCGTAGTCAACGTGTTACTTTCAGTTTTTTTATTTATTTAAAAGGAATTTCATTTAAATAAGGTTTAAAGTTATATAATCTAAACAATAATTGTTTTCTTATTGATAAATATCAGGTTGTTTTTTTGTTCATTTTCTTAATGGCAAATGTCTTGTTATATGTTAGAACATTCAATTAATAAATTTGGTTTTGACGTAAAGGGTTGGACCATATTTTGCCCCCAACGTATAATTTTAGAAGACTGCCTTTCTAATCGTTTTGAGTAAATTTAAATGTTAAAATTACATATTGTCGGCCTGTATTCCTTTTTGGAAAATACTTTAGGTTACTCTTAATGTTTGTCCTTATTTAATGTTTTTAACAATGCAGAGGAAGTAAAGACGTTAAGACGAGGAATTTATTTTAATTCAGGTTGTGCACAACCATAAAGGCTGATTAGTAAGAATCCTGATATATAATTTTAATTAATGTTATAATTCACTCTAGCTTTGCATAGCTTTGGGAAAATGATAAAAATCTAAACGAAATATTATATGAACTGTTGTAGTTCAATTATGTAATTAATATTTTTCCCATAAATATGTAATATTTTTTTGCAACTGAAAAATACATAAAATAATTAAATTTTAATCCTAATAGTTTTTTCTTCTTCTTCATTTTCGTCTTCTTTGAATTATGCATTTTAAATGTTATTCAGCATGTCTTTGAGCAATTGAGTTAAATTTTTTTGTGAGAATAGTACCTTATATTTTTGTTATATGTCCATGAGTTATATATACATTTTCACAATTCAGATTTGTTAAACTAAAAGTATGTCTATTTTTCCTTTTTTTTCTGTCTACCCAACAGGTTGTTGCAACCATTTTTATTCCAAGTATGGACAAGACCCATCTTTCAAGCACTAATGACATAATTATGACGAGCTCATCAGGCCCATATCAACAGGAACCCCTCACTCCACCGAGGCAAAGCCATCATCACTCCTCATCCTCTTCTTTATCCTCACCCTCTCCTTCCTCATCCTCATCTCCCCTCAAACCCAACCAGGTTGGTCAGGTCATCCTTTATGGTGTCCCTATTGTATCACTGGTCATTGACAATAATGAGAGACTTTGCTTGGCGCAAATTTCCAACACGCTGCTGAAGAATTACAGTTATAATGAGATCCATAATCGTCGCGTTGCGCTGGGCATCACCTGTGTCCAGTGCACGCCGGTGCAGCTGGAGATCCTCCGCAGGGCCGGCGCCATGCCCATCTCATCACGCCGCTGTGGCATGATCACCAAGCGCGAAGCCGAGCGGCTGTGCAAGTCCTTCCTCGGAGAGAACGCTCCACCAAAGCTGCCTGACAACTTTGCCTTCGACGTAACACATGAGTGTGCCTGGGGTTGCCGCGGCAACTTCATACCGGCGCGCTACAACAGCTCCAGGGCCAAGTGCATCAAGTGCTCTTTCTGCAACATGTACTTCTCTCCGAACAAGTTTATTTTCCATTCCCACCGCACGCCGGATGCCAAGTACACTCAGCCTGACGCCGCCAACTTTAACTCCTGGCGGCGGCATCTCAAGCTCACTGACAAGCACCCACCTGACGAGTTAGTTTACGCGTGGGAAGACGTCAAGGCTATGTTCAACGGAGGCAGTCGAAAGAGAGCGCTGCCCTCGTCAGCCCAGTGCTCCTCCATGGGTCCCATGAAGGCCCTCCCGGGTTCGGTGGTACCTCACATGATGGGGCCTGATCTGGGCGCTCAGAAAAGAGCCCGCTTCGAGGATGAGGATGATCTGGACGGGGGGAACCTGTCCCCTCGAAAAACGCCACGCAGCTACCCGGTCATCCCCGTCCCAAGCAAAGGTTTTGGCATGTTGCAGAAGTTCCCTCCCACGTCCCTCTTCCCGTCCCCTTATCCTTTCCCTGCATTCGGCCTCTGCCAGCAGAAAAAAGAGGACAGTGATGTTTCATCCGGACAGAAAGGAGCAGGGTTGTCTGGGCTGTTATGGCCTGGCCGCAAAGACACTTTTTATCCTCCTTTCTGCATGTTTTGGCCACCAAGAGCAGCGGGAGGAATCCCCGTCCCCACCTACCTCCAGCCTCAGCCCAACACCCTCTCCTCTCTCACAGACAACCCCTCTCTCAGGCAGGCCTTTCTGGATCTCTCAGACCACGGTGAATCTGGAGCAATAAATGGCAACGCAACGGGAGTTGGTGCCGGCATGGCATCCAACAGTGGGACCGCCACGTCCAGAACTGGATTGTTTGACTCGGACTGCTCGACAGTGGCCCCTGACCTCCGACCTGTGACATCAGAGGGATGGCTCAAGATTTTGGACAACCCAAGCCTCCAAACGAGAAAGCCGAGTTACGGCTCGGCCTTTCGCCCAGTCATCAAGGACGCAGAGAGCATCGCCAAGCTCCACGGCAACAGCGCAGGAGTCGCGGGGGCAACAGACGAGGACTTTGGAGTGGTGGGCTCTGGGTCGGACCGACACCAGCGACTGTCCCCCACCAGCAGCTGCAGCTACGGCAGCGAAAGCGGAGGAGACGGAGAACCGGAGGGAGGAGAGAGCGAAGAGGAGGGGGACGTCGATGTGGAGTCATCGAAGCAGGAGGACGAGGAAGAGGAGGGAAGTTTCACAAGCAGGCCACCACAGACTCAGCCCAACCTGTACCTAACCACCGCGAGTGACAGCGCCGGAGAGGAAAGGGGGCAGGAACGAGGGAGTGGTGCCATGTATCCCAGCAACTCCCCGCGATCCTCCTCAAATCCCATCCTGCAGGAGTCCCCGAGCCTTCCTGCCTCTCCTCGTGCAAGCCTGCCTCTCTCCAGCTCCACCCCGCCTCACAGAGAGGACGGCGCTTACAAAAACGTAAATATCCCCACAGGCCACTTTAGCTAATTATTATTTAAATGGTGCTGCAGTCAGGCAGTGCTGTGATCTGCATAAGCAGATTGATGGGCTGGTTTCTCCCAGTAGAAATTGAAACAGTCACCCCTCTCTGATCCCAGCTAATAGGCCCTGGCGTGGATTGTTTAATGGCTACAATGTGTTTGTACTCTCCTGTCACCCGAGCCTGTTAGGGTAACTCTAATCTTTAACCTTTTGACCCCACATTAACAGGGCCTCTGAGAGGAGGAAGGAGAGACAGAAACAGTTATCAGAAGCATTTTATATGACTTAGTTATCTGTCAAATAAAAGACAGTGCATGCTTTATATCTCACAAGAAGTAAGAGGATAGAATATCAACTCAAAACTATTATGCTCCAGATTATAGTTAATGTTGTTTTATTTTGTTTACATTTTTTGTCACTAACCTGTGAGAAGACTTCAAGACTTAATTTAGTCCAAGTAAATCCACATCTGTTTTGTTGTATGTTTTATAATGCTTTTTTATTTTATTTGGTGCCTTAAAATGTAAAACATGCAAATGGAATGCTCATAGAGTGTTTTTCTTTGCCAGGTTCAGAAAAATAGAGACGAAGGGCTGCCTGCTTATGCAACCAAAGACAATTCCAGCATATCTGGTGAGCACAGACAGTTGAAACTTTTTTTCTTTTTTCTTTGTCATTTCTGATTTACATTTTTTTTTATGTAATGCAAAGCATTCGATAATGTTCTACCTTTATCGAATGTATCCAAAGCTGGTTTGGATACTGCAGAATAACTGTTTGCACAAAGAAAAAACTCTCTGCTCGGTTTGTTTTGCAGTTTGAATGGATTGTTTGACACATTTTATGCCCCACAGTCGTTTTATGTCTTCAAACACTTGAACACTTTTATACACTCTTTTCATCAAATAGCATCACAAAACTATTCCACCAAACTGTTACACGCTCTCTGTTTCATCAGACATCTGAGTCAGTTGCGTTATAGCATCTTTGTTTCATTTATTGTCTGAGTGAGTGGTTTTATAGCGTCCCTGTGTCCCTGCAAGGCTCGCATTCTGGTGACGTTTCATTTGCTCCTCTCATCTCCCAGCCTGACCCTTTTGCCGAGGAAAATGTCTTCTGTGTGTTGTGTTGCAGCATGCTCACACACACAGGCGTAAACTCGACCACCTGACCCGCAAATGCGCACACACGGGGCAAACGCACGCCATGCGCACACTTAGTTATCTCCCTGTGTACGGATAACCAGCTCTGCCAATGGGCCTTACTGAAACTCCCTCCCTGTTTGTGTTTCTGTCCTCCGCTATTTTCTGACAGATGAAAACAAAGAGCAGAGTAGCTTCTTTGTGGCCGAGAGTGAGGCATCAGCACCGGACTATTGGAGGGAGAGCTCAGGTAGAAACACTCTTTTGTTTTTCCTCTCATAAGTGGTTTAAGAGCAGCCACTTTCAGACAGAAGGAATTTAATTAATAGATGAAAAAAAAAGATTAACTATCAGTGGTAGTAAAATTATTGGGTGTTGTCATGTTTAATATGATTTCTGTAAATTAGTTAAATCCAATTTTAGCTCTCCACTAAATGCCTGTTAATAGCTTTGTAAGAGATTTAATTAGGAAATACAAGTATACATAAAGCTAATAATGCTTATTGAAACAAAGACTTGATATTCAAAATTCCAATTATGTGTTTTTTCTTATACAAATAGCACTCAGGACACTAAACACAGTGAGGGAAAAGTACATCTTACCATCCCATCCCAATCTCTTCTCCGATGGGGAGTTAAGGGATTCATATAAATACACACAGATATGAAATGGCAGCGGAGAGCTGATGCCACTCTGCCAAGGCTGCTCTCTTTAGCAGTGTTGTCGCCAAGACTGTTATTATTGTAAGGGAGGGGGGGCAGGAGAGGTGTGGGGGGGGTGCGCGCGTTATAGTTCAACAAGAAAACATCAGCTCAGAGATAAGCAGCGCGCCGACAATCTCCATCCTAGACCCATATCTGCGCCAAAATAATTGCCTTTTTTTCCTTTCTCAGCTGAAAAACAGCCTTTCCCGTTTGCGAAAGATCACAGCTTATTGCCTTTTTATATCTGTCAGGAAGACATTAAAAGTGCTTTATGACATCTGTGCCAACATTTATATCCACCCCCCCCCCATTCCCTCAACCCCTACACATACAGACACCGTAATGATCCCTGCGCATAATGTATAATGTATTTCGAAAAATTACACGAAACAAATTAAATGAGACCACCTTTCCCCTGATTGCCAAATGTCTCCCTGGGCGGTGGGAAGCTCTACGTGATTAGAAGGCCTGATTCCTCTGTGTCCCAACACTCCCCCCTCCACTGTCTTTAAACTCTCCCTCTGTTTCTAGGGAGAAAAAATAATCTAATTTTCCATTTATGTAATGCAAACCGCCTTGGCTTTGACTATTCACGGTTAATTGACTGTCAAACGAGGTTGTTATCCTCGGGCACTGTCTGCAAATTTGCTTGTCAAATGAGACAGAGAGAGGAGAGGAAAGGAGAGAGGAGTGGAGGAGAGAGTACAGAGCTCTCCCTGCTCTAAATGAGAGAGAAGCATTGAAGGAGCCAGGATACGAAATGACTGGAGGAGAATACACACGTCGAGGGTACTGGATTGCTTCATTTAAGGCAGTAAATGCCTCATTGTCACAATTCAGGCAGTCGCACAAACACATACATGCATGCATAACAATGTTCGATGCTTTCAAGAGAGCAACGTGCCATGGAGATGTTTGTTTCTAAGACAGAAAAGTTCAGAGGCATACCAGACAGAACAATTCATCTCCTAACAAAATTAGTTTTTTTACATTAAGATTCAACAGTTGTCCGCTCCTGTTCTGCTTTTCTTTTATAAACTGTCGGCACATCTCTGACCTTTCAGGCTTCAACTCTCACATCAGCTCGACCTGACTGATTTACTCTAGTTTGTGGGATTTGATCTGACAGCGAAAGAAGACTGAAAAAGACAAGTAGTGACTGCAGTAACAGATCTCCATTCTCAAGTGTACACCTGCACCTGCTGCTGACTTACACTGACACCCAGAGGCCAAAAAGTGAATTACAGTGCTTCACAACGCCTCAGCTGAGGGAGAAGCAGTGAAGATGGCTTAAAAATCACAAAGACGAAGCATAGATTTGAACTTCTCATTTCCAAGTCTAAGACTCAGATATATATTCCACACAAAATTTAACATCAGGGTTTTTAATGAAATTGTAGCTGCTTTTTGTTGCTGGATTGAACACACACACGACTAAAGATTTGACTTTTTACTTTCAGGTGATCAGAGCAGAGGGGCTGCCTCTCCTGTGCCACTAAAGAAGGATGTGGAGAACATGGAGAAAGGTAAAGATTGTTTAAATAACACAAGGTGTAGTTACACAGAGCTATATCTATAAGCCGTAAGCAGTCTGCACAGTCAAAGAATCTGCCTTTGTTCAGTCTCTATATGAAAGTTTCACTTGTGTTCTGCTTTTTGAATGTGTGCAGAGGAGCTCCAGAAGGTTCTGTTGGAACAGATCGACTTCAGGAGAAGACTGGAACAAGAATTCCACGCGCTAAAGGGAACCTCACCGTTTCCTGTTTTCCGTAAGTCTTTTTGTGTGTTTTTGTGTGTAAAAGGGATTTTTCCCAATGTTCTTTAAGGTGTTTTGTGACCCTCTTGTGCTCTTTCTGTGTTATTTCTTTCGTTTGAACTTCCTTCCTCATTCAGTGCCCCCTTTTTTAGTCTCGAAAACAGTAACATTATTGTCTCTAAAAAAACAACTCAGATGATTGTAGTGCTTCAGCTGGGCTGATCCATGATTTTTACACCAATTTCAGATAATTTTCAAGATCAGATGAAAAGAGAGCTCGCCTACAGGGAGGAAATGGTCCAGCAGTTACAGATGGTGAGTGAATGCTGGAATATGTGCTTTTAAATGATGAATAAAACACTCACTGGAGTCTATTTCTATGTCAATCAAATATGTCTGGAGCAGGAAAAACAGACCCCTAACAGATGAAAAAAATCTGCTCTATAATAATTTCATTATAACACGTATCAAGGACATGACATGGATAAAGCCCCAACACAATGAATACATTTTTGATTATATAGAGCATGCCTCAAACAGACGCATGTGTTTTTGCTTATTTGTCCGTCAAAGGACAGATCCAATCATCTAGTTTGTCTTTCATGGGTGATAAGTTCCTCTGTAGCCATCTGAGTGTTTCCGCCCGCATCAATCACAGGAGCAGCTGGCAGACAGTCTGACAGATGCTGTTTGTCTTTGCTTTCTGACACATGCAACAACTGTACGCGCTTGTACGCACACGGCAGCAAACCGTGCGCATTCAACAAAACACACACACACAACCAAAAGCAACCAAGAGCACCCGTCTAACAAAAAGCCCACTGAACAGGCTTCCAAGCTCATTTGTAGGCATGTAAAAGAACGTCAAAGTGCACACACACACACACACACACACACACACACACACACACACACACACACACACAAACGCACACACACACACATACACGCATAGAGGTTGAAAAATGTGTCTCGAACCAGCAGATGGATCTGTCTGAGAGTAATGACACATTAATTTTGCACAGACACTCAAATGAACCCCAAGAAAATCTTTAATTCATGCTGCTTTTCAGTTTAAAAACTTTCCGCATTTTCCAAGACTTTCCGATTTAGAAACTGTCAAATTAGAAGAAATTCCAACTTATTTTTTTCTTGATTATCTCAAAGTGAAAAAATGTAAATGATGTCTGAACATTATTTCATGACACAGGCCATATCCATCTTTAGAAAATGTGTCTTGAATTAATTTTTGTTCTACTTTTGTCTTTCAGATTCCATACGCAAACATGATAAGAAAAGAAAAGATCACTTCCCATCTCAGCAAATAGCTAAAGGGTAACTATTTAATTTCATTTCATGAAACTACCAAGTATCTTTTCTACCCATCTGTGGGTTAAAGTGTATCATAACTTTGTGTGAATAAGCCCCAGTGCTCCTGGGCCTCCAGAGCTATTGTAAATGTTAAACCAGTTAGTGATTGAAAAACATTCAAACAAAATTAAACTAACACTGGATTTTTATCTTTGCTTCTCTTCACAGGGCAATGAATCGAGAAGAAAAAGCTGTTTGGACTTTTTGTCCATGTAAAAATAAGAATTAAAAGATTCAGAGGTGACACAAAAAAATAAAAACAGAGATGTAGGATTGAAACAGAGAGGAAGATAACACTATTATATACATATGCGTTTCCTACCACAGGACAGCCCTGGACAGTGTCCCCTCTGCCAATGGCCCTGTAAACATTCTATGCTCACATCTCTGTGGACCACTTTGTACTGATACCAACTTACTGGTAAAAAAAGAAAAAAAAAACCCTCCTGTCTCATTTTCCCAGGAGGTCGGGTTGTTTTGTTTTTTTCTCCGATCCGACTCAATTGAAAGTGGATGATGCAAACTGATAACTCCAGGAGAAATGGAACAGTTCCCTGTGCTTCATCCTCATTATCTTGTCAGAATTTACCTGATCCAAATGGGACCTGGCAAATAAGGCCTTTGCCAACTCTAAAGCTGTTGAGGACTATTTAGAAAAGCAGCTGTAGACACCAGAAAAACCAGTGACAAGAAGCTACGGAAGGAAGAATGGGAGATTTCATCTGTGTTCCTGACTGCGTTCGGTCCAAAAGCGGGCACATCAGACTTTATTTATTTATTATCAAGTTTGATTCCAAAGGGATTCACCTCATCCTGTGGGGCTGTGACTCTTCCCAGTTTACACAAATCCTCATTACAACCATATATAAACATGACTTAATACTCTGGAACTCAGACTGTTAATGTCCATAGCAAGGAGACAAAGGAGACAAACAAACTCAATAAAGAAAAATGAACACAGCACAGGCAGTATTAATGATTATGTCTGTAAACCCAAGGGTACATTAACATCAGTATTAGGGCTGTTCACGCAATGGAAGAGCTCTGCACAGTACCCGTAATTTTCCTGGTTACTGCATTTTTAGAACACAATGCACCACATCCGTCCATATCCAGCTATTCATTTATCCAGGAAAATTCATTCCAAAACGATAATGTGTGTCACATTACATATTGACCTCATACTGTATCAGAACAGCTGGATTTTTGCTAAAAGGCACAGAAATTATACTTTTTATCCTCCACACAGATTTTTGCAGTGTTAACAACCCCTTCATTATTGATCTTGTGTTAGGCCAATATAGCTGCCATCTAGAAGGTGAGAAGATGATTTACAGCTTGCTCTAATGGTCCGCTGTTTATCCAAAGGAATGCGGAGCAAAAGATTTCATATTCAGTGTTGTGTATCTACATGTAAATAAAGTCATCTGATTGTATAAAACGTCATCAGGACACTGAACCTTACTGTCTCTCTATCTATATGTGTTTGTTAATTTATGAATATCAAACCCTGACACCCTGATTGTGAAAACACTTTATTATAAAATGATGATGGTGCAGTTACATGTAAGTCAAAGAGTACAAAGGACAGCTAACCTTGTTTATAAAATGAATGAAAGAAGTGATCACCTGAATGACAGAATGTTACCATTATAAAATGTTAATGCAGATGTATTTCAAAATGTTCTTGTAGTTTCTCTACTATTATGTGTAAATTAAAAGTCTATACAAAAGTGTGTGTACTTTCATTATTGGTGACATTCTGTATCCTGTATTGCCATTGCTAATATCTAATTATTAAATAATTAACACAAAAATCATATTGTTTGGGTTTACAGGCGACATTCAATTAAACCTCGTTCCCAAGTGCTGCAAACTCCAATCATTAGTCTTTTCCTCAGTGGCGCGATTGCGCGACGTTATTCGCTGCTTTGCGGCAGCGGAATTTGTGGGAGTGGCAGGCTGCGAAAGAGGGGGAGTAGAAGAAGAAGCGGTTGCCAGCATGGCGTTAACACTCTACTCTCTCATCCAGACCGCTATCCTCTGCACAAATGCGATCGCTGTGTTACACGAGGAGAGGTTTCTGAGCAAAAGTAAGTTTATGCCGCACGAACGTTTCCCGTTTAGATAACCGGCCTTATTTTAGCATGCTCCAAACATCCGACAAGGAGTGAATCTATCAGCTGCCTCCTCATCAATCAGTGCATGGATTGCTCATATAAGGTTAAACTGAACAATCTGCCTCAAAGAAATTTTGAAATGGGTTACAAACAGTCTTTTTTTATTGTACGTGTCATCTGTGGGTGTGTTTCCAGTCGGTTGGGGTGCTGATCAAGGGGTTGGAGGATTTGGGGACGATCCAGGAATCAAAGCTCAGATACTGACTCTCATTCGCTCAGTTCGGACCGTCATGAGAGGTTGGAAGAGTTCTTACATCATCTTTTCTCTAAAAGTACCTACTTATAAATAACAAGTCCTTGTAATGGCTGAACTTTTTCTACAGTTTCTTGTGATATATAATAATATAATATTATTTCTATTGTATATCAAATTTTTTCTGTCTTTTTCAGTGCCTTTGATCATAGTAAACTCTGCCTGCATCGTCCTGCTGTTGCTCTTTGGCTGATCGAAAGTGCACAGAATGCCACAGGAGGAGACGCGCTGAAGAACAACCAAAGCAATGAGATCAGAGCTGACCCCTCATCTGGTCACTTATCTGGCTCATAAGCACAGAAAAGACAAAAACAAAATGTAGTTTTTAAAACACAAGGCTCGGTCGTTTTACACTCCTCATATCGAATGGTCTTTCCGCACAGGCCACATTACTTAAGACGTTTGAGAGAAATCGGTTTTGTAATTTGATACGTGCCATGTATTTTAACTCAGTGAAAAAGTTCCTCAGTGTTATGGAGAAAGCTTGGACTTCTTAGGCTCATTGTCACAGAGATCATTTGGGGTATTTAGGGCTCTCATGAGGTCTGTAGGTCACATAGCCTCGTAAAACTTGTAAAGTGACCAAAAAGAAGAACTCAAGCCCAGCCATTCAGAATTCTCTCCACATATCCACATGCAGATTGTTTTGATATTTAAAAAGAGTTGGGGTTTATGCCACAAATGCTTTGTTTTGGAATAAATGCATTATGGTTACTTTTATAGTGTTGGTATGGTATTTTATGGTAGCAAAAAGAGAATATAAACTACGACTCCTCCAGCTGTTTTCTATTCAAATAGGAATCTGCACGTACAAAGAAACAAATGAAAAGCTGGTCAGAATAAAATTTAAGCAGGCCAGGTTGGCAGATGAAAAATTTTCCGACCAAATTGTACTTTCAATATTGTTAGAATTGTAGGAATATTGCTTTTGACAACTCGATTTCTGCATGTTTTCACATTCCATTTAATTATTGCTTCTTCATATTTTTCTGGTAGGGTCTGTAGAACTGGTGGGTTGCCAGATCATCTGTTCTAATAGATATGATTTCATCAAGCCCATTCAGACTTTTAAGTAAACACTCGTCCCTTTTACAGCGCATGTTAAACTTCATGTTTATCCATTTTCATTCCTCATCAATAATCCCCTTATGTTGTGAGTTATCACCGTTCACCCCGCTGTTTCAGAGCCTTGTTTACTCTCATTAGTTTTGATCCTAGATATACAGCAGCTGAGGGAAGGGAGGAGGGCATCTGCTGGAATTAGAAGCATATGTTTATCAGAGAGATTTGCACATTAAAGCCACTTTGATATGTGATTAGTCTGAATTAAGCCCAGGGTCCATGGAAAAACTGGTACAGGCGACTTTTTTTCAGTCTGTGTGCCCTGATCTGTGAGTTCAAAGAACAGAATTTGTTAGATTTTTAATTTTAGTTACACATACAATGGTTAGTATTTAATGAATCACATTCACTCTTCGTTTTTTTATGTCAGAAGGAATATACATTTACTGTAGCAAAAACGTGCCAATGTAATTTACAGTGTCACACTGTGCTACAAATCTTGTCTGTATAGTTTACCAACAGAAAAAAAATAGATCAGTTCTTGATGGAAGAATATTAGTCAGTAAAATCGATCATTAAAGAAGAAAACACTTGAACAAATCCTGATTTACTTGTGGAAAAATATAAAAGTACAGTGTACATAAATAATACAGTTAGAGTAAAAGATCAACCAAATGCTGCAGTTAAAAATCTAAGTAAAAACAAAATAGAACATTTCATCAAAGTGATAAACTTTGTATTTAGTATATTTCAATTAACAAATACATTTATAGTGTCAGATTACTTTCTTAACATCGTATTTTCCACCCTTATCACAAGGGAGACCTAATATTTATGTAAACTCTAAGTGCTGAAAAACAGCCGTGTTATTCACTATGTGGAGGTAACATGAAAAGAGGATTTGATCTCTGCTGTCTGGCATCGTGCAGAGAGGTTTTTATCTCTCTGATAATACCACCCTGCATATTAAATCCAAAAGACCTACTAATGGAATACATCTGCTGGTTGTTAGTGTGATGAGACACATATGTTTTTTTTTATTATTATTCCAATGAGTGATTAAGGGGTTATGGGTAACCCTCTTAACTGATTATGACATGCTAGTATGCAAAAAAAATCTCTATAAATGCCAAATGAAATAGATAAAATAAAAAAAATGATGAGAAGTTAGGTAGACAGAAAGATGGATGCAAAAAAATGTTTTGGGACACAATTAAGATGAAGAGGACAGCATATTAAAAACGTGACTCGCATCCGTTGAAAGAGTAGCGGATTATACTGACCTGCAGGGGGCAGCATCGATCATACGGTAGACAACTGCTTTTTAAACAGACGAAGAAGAAACGTCAACAGGAAGCAGCAGAGAGTTCTGCAGATGTCAAAGAGATCTTCACAGCCCATTAAGTTGTAAGTCCTGCCAATAGTTTCCATTTTGTCAAGTGTCTCCAGTTGAAAAAGTATTACTTTATACCGGATTAAAATGTAGTAATATGTGAAGAGGTGGGTTATTACTACGACGTAAAATACATTTTAGCTGCTGCCATTCAGAAATCGACAGCTGCAGGTCATTACTTATCAGAGCCAACACAGACCTCAGAACTTGTATGAACCTTTTCTCAAAATCCACTTCTAACACATTTGTGGAGTTGAGAGCTTTCACCTGGATGCAAGTTATTTAAACAATGTTACCTCACACAACATGATCTTACATCCTAGAAATGACTTGCACAAAACTCTACCATGATCAGTTTTTACTTAATGATCCAATATGTTTGAGGACTTAATTTTTCTTCCTGTCTGTTTCTCCCTTCAGATTGTGGTTAAATATCTGCAGATATCCTAAATACATTAATTATTAATGAAAAAGTACAAATAATGCATCAGAAACATCACTTAGAGAGAGAATGGTCAGGCTTGTTGAGTCACAGTTTAATACTTTGGCCACACATACACAAACACATCCACAATAAGCTTATTCACAGCTTGGCATTTGTCCTACCGCTCAGTTTCAGGCTCTCGTTATTCAGAGATATATCCAAAAGATACTGTATGTGATCTCTGGACAGTGTGTGCGTGCTGTCTTAGGTGGGTTTTAAGAGCATTAATTGCAACCTCGCATTGATAAATACATGACAGAAATCCAAGCATGTCCAAATAATAGCGGATCACACTAAATAAAAACCAATACGTTAAAATCCCCAAATCTGTATTCTAATCAGAAACCCACAAGTTAAACAGGTCAGTAATCCTCTCAGTAATAGTTTGATGTAGGTTTGATCAAACCAGTAATCTGACCAAATTCTGCCATTTCCAATATGAATTATAATTCTGAGGGTATTATCTCTGTAATAATGAATGATTATGGAATAATACGCCTTTTTTAAAACTGCGGAAATCTCTGTTGATAGTAGACCAAGTTCATATTTAGCTGTATATAAAATCAGCGCGAGACAGTCCAAGCCGATATTATCTGTTATCTAAAATGTTTAAATAATCTCTCAGTTTATCAAATGAGTCGTCAGAGTTGTAGTTATTCTTTTACTTTTAAATTTGACATAAATCTGAATGCATCAGCTGTTGCTCACACTTTGGGCTGTAGTGATGTGTAATAGAGATTCTTTATTTTTGGGCTGTTTTCTAACACCTTACGGACTAAATCGGTAGAATGTCGACAATAGGGGATTAATTCATAACAGAAATGATTGTTAGCTTTTTCCCTTTTCACTGTGCAGGCTTCCAACATGGCAGGCCGACGGGCTCTGAAGGCTGTGCTCATTGATCTGAGTGGAACCCTACACATAGAGGACACGGCGGTGCCCGGAGCGCAGGATGCCCTCAACAGGTGGGAAAAACAGCCTGCAAACGGGCAGAAAACGGAGGGTGGGCAGCCTGGAATGACTCCAGGTTTTAAATCCACTGACGTGTCCTTTGGCAGGCGTCCGTTTGTACTGCATTATCATTAAAGATCCTCATGTTGCCGTGCAAAGACAACCCTCCAGCGTTAAGTTTGCAGATAAATATGGCTGCTGAATATGCTGTTAACTTGTGTGTCCCCGTGCCATCAGGTTAAGGCAGGCGTCTGTTGCCGTCAAGTTTGTGACCAACACAACCAAGGAGAGTAAGAGAAACCTACTGGAACGACTGCGACGGCTCAACTTCGACCTCCAGGAAAGTCTTTTCTTTTTATTCACATATTTATATTAATTTATCTTTCTCCAAGCTTCAAATGCTTTTATCGGAATGTTAAATCCGAATGAAATGGAGTTTAGAAGAGGAAATGATCTGTCCCAATATCCCCGGAGCCACTTTAATAATCATCCCTTGGCTGGGAAGTTCTGCATTGCTTGACCGGATCTGTGTGCCATGGCTCTGCAGGAGGAGGAGATCTTCACCTCTCTGAGCGCAGCGAGGAGCCTTTTAGAGCGGAAACAGCACAGACCTCTGCTGCTGGTGGAGGACAGCGCGCTGGAAGACTTCACTGGTACCAACTAGACACGTGGACCTGATCTTATTCATTGTTATTCAGCCATCTTAAAAAAAAAACAACAACTTTTGTTTAGGCAGGCTAGGAGCTTTTGGTACTCCTGTTAAATGAGATGAAAATCTTTTCCAGCCAATAAATCGTTTCCCTCTAAACGCAGGCATTGACACATCAGAGCCCAACGCAGTCGTGGTTGGACTAGCTCCGGATCATTTTAACTATCAAACGCTCAACAGAGCTTTCAGGTGAGACACCTCTTAAAGAAACAGGGATTATTCATAGCATGGCGTTTTCTTTTTGTTAGACCTATTCTTCCCCGTATTCTCTTTAATGTTTGCTTCCTCGTAGAATGATTCTGAACGGGGCTCCCCTCATTGCCATTCACAAGGCTCGTTACTACAAAAGAAAGGATGGGTTGGCCCTGGGCCCCGGGCCCTTTGTCACAGGACTGGAGTATGCCACAGACTGTAAAGCCACTGTGGTGGGAAAGCCTGAGAAGACTTTTTTTACCCAGGTAAAACCTATTTTGTTTCTATTTTGTATTTTTTTTAAATGTTTAAATGTTTTATTTTAATTAAACTTATAATTAATCAAATGGTGCTCGTCTTTTCCTAACAGGCTCTGTCTGATTTGGGATGCAGTCCCAGTGAAGCTGTGATGATAGGAGATGTGAGTATCTTTCCATCTGTAGCTCAAAATGAATTTTCGGCATATTGTTGATAGTTGTGGCTGTTGCTTGGAATTACAAGACGTATAATCAGCCCCCAGTGTTAAACTCTCGCATAATAAAGTGTAACATGAATTTGAAACTGCATAGATCTCATACGTCTCTGCAAGGATTTTCTTTAGCAGCTCATTTGAAGTAGGGGTTGTAGCCTATTCCAGCTCTCATTGGGTGAAAGAACCACAGAACCCAGTACTAACAAATTATGATAATAAGCATACCGATAAAGACTTTTTCTTACCTGCAGGATGCCAGAGATGATGTAGGCGGGGCTCAGAATGCAGGGATGTTGGGTATTCTGGTAAAAACCGGTGAGTTAATTGAACTTTCGGCAGGCTTCCAACTGCTGTTTCTGAGCAATTGTGGGATAAAAACAACTGAGAGCTGATCACTCTCATTTAAAAGGACCACTGTCCTCCTCCAGCTTCTCTCCGCACGCCTGCGGCTTCGTGTGAAGTTCCGTTCTCATTCCACCTCCTCTGCCCTCATGTTCCAGGTAAATACAGAGACGGGGATGAAACCAAAATCGACCCACAGCCTCACCTGACATGCAACAGTTTCCCAGACGCCGTGGAACACATCCTGCAGAACCTGCTGTAAACTAGAGCAAGCACAGCTGCCACAGCTCCTATCAGCGCGTCTCTCCTCTGGACGAGGGAAAACTCGCACACAGATGAAGGGACTTAATGAACTGGTCTCCTCACTCCAAACATGTTGACCAACATGGAATAATCACGCTGTTTTAGCCCGACTGAGCATCCTACATTGATGAAGAAGTGAGTTCTTAAGAGAAAAACACAATGATTTCAGGAGCCGTCTGCTGGCATCTGACTGAGCATCAGATTGCATGTGTTCAAGTAGTCTCTTTTTCTTTAGTCCAGTGTTTATTATTTAAACTTGGTACATACAGGTCTAAAACAGCGATATGGACTCAGAGGACGGAAATGAACATTTCTCTTAAGAGGTTAATATTGGTAAGAGTTTTAGTTTCTCTGTGTTTATGTGCAATCCTCCCCTTCCCCAATCAGAACTTTTTTCCCCAGTATGTATAATATATACTGGGGAAAAAACAAACAAACAAACATATGATATATAATATGGAGATGTCATGGTTGTGTACAAGTCCGTTTTGTCTGAACATCAGACAGACTCATACTCCCTCTCCCAGGCTGTGTATCTCTCCATTAGGTTTCGGGCCGACGGTTTGGTGTGCGCGATCACTTCCAAGAAGTCAGCCGTAGCTACAGTTCCCAGTTGGATGGCAGAGATGTCATTGTCTCCTGTGGAAGAGATTCACAGTGAGGCTGAAGTCCTGGTTACAGGCTCCATCTGCCTGTCTTTCTTTTTTTTTTTTTTCAACCTACCATCCTGATGCGACTCCAGCGCATCAAAAATCTTTCGAACCGGTCTCATGGCGGACTCTTTACACAGCAGTCTGACGTCAGAGCCGGAGTATCCCTCCGTCTCCTGTGAGAATCAGGGAAGTAAAAGCTTGAATCATTGTAAGAATCTAGGACAACCATTTGACAGTTACATCTCCACTGTAGCAAACCTCTGCCAGCAGTTTGTAGTCCAGGGCAGTTCGTAGCTGCACCCCCCCCGTAGAGCTCAGGGGAGGCAGCCAATGAGAGATCATGGCTTGGCGAGCGGGTGAAGAGGGAAGACTCACGAGTATCCTCTTTTCCAGCCTCCTCAGCATGGCGTGGTCCAGTTCCCTGAAAGTAGAGCAACATTTGTTAATGAGTCAGAGCTCAACGATCGTACCGAATGTGTGATTCATCTTAAGTCTCTGGAGTTAGTTCAGCCTTTAAAATTTAAATTGTGGCTGTTAAAGAGTTACCACGGCAGATTGGAGGCAGCCAGTACAAACACCAGGTCGTCCGATTTTGCAAGTCCATCCATCTGGACCAGCAGCTCGGTCTTCATCCTCCGACTCCCCTCGTGCTCCCCACTAGAAAACACACATCAGTCCAATCTCAAATCAGTTTACATTCATTGTTGGCTACGGCTTTACTTCACTCAGAGGATGAGCTCACCCCAAACTGCTCCCCCTCTGGCCCATCACCGACTCCAGCTCATCAAGGAAGATAGTGGACGGGGCATGGTATCTGGCCAGCTCAAACAAAACCTGTTTTCAAAAGAGTTTAGGAATGCTTAAACAGAGCCGTAGTTTTGGGTCATGTCTTATATGTGGCGAGTGAACCCCTACCCTGACCAGTTTCTCCGAGTCTCCCCTCCACTTGCTGACAATGCTGGAGGCTGAGATGTTGAAGAAGGTTGTCTTACACTCTGTGGCCACGGCTTTGGCCAGCAGGGTCTTTCCCGTGCCTGTGTGTGAGGCAGATGGTCACAGTGGTGTACGCGAGGTTGCGTTGGGATGATTAGGAACATCCTGAAAATCCTGTTACCTGGAGGACCATAGAGCAGCAAGCCCTTCCATGGAGATAAGATGCCTGTAAACAGCTGGGGATACTGTAGTTTGACGTAGTACAGATGCAGAACAAATAAACCTTTAGAAAAATCACACCTAAAACAATTTTTCAGCAGACCATCCAGAAGCTGAGCTGTGTGCAAAGCAGGCTGTTGGAAAGCTGAGTCAGAGCTGCAAATACCACATCCTGCAAATTAGTCTGGATTTGAGCTGACAAACAGAGGCCGAATGATTAATAATAATAATGAGATAACGTTAAGAGTTGTAGACAGGTGGAAAGATGGCATTAGTCAGTTGGACCGGCCAAAACAATGTTATGTTTGTATGTATATATATATATTTATATATATAAAAATGGATACATAACTCCTCATCCTGAACTGGAAATGTCAAGAGGATGCAGGCACCCTGATTTGTTGTCATTATGTCAATGGAAAAGGCCTGGATGATGATGATAAAAGTGTGCGTGTGTATAGCTGTTATCTATACACAGAGGCAAAATTGGGGGAAGAGCACGGTGTATAATAAATTCTACATGGCATTCCATGTATGAGCAGACCTGCCTGTCTATCCATCTCTGTATGTGCGTTGCCATCAGATCCCAGATATAGATTTAATGTCAGTCTAATAGACTGGCCTGACCCATCTGCCCTCCTCCTCTTTAAGCCTTTTAAGGGAGATGTATTCAGAATCGAAGATGGAGGAGCGATGCTGAAATACCAGCACGCTCGCGTGGCGGCCGCACCTTAATGGGATAAACGACGGCCTCTTTGACTAATCGCTTGGCATCCTCCAGGCCGATGATGTCCTCCCAACGCACGTTCAGGCTGTGCGAATAGATGTCCTTTGGTGAGTGAACACACACACACACACACACACACACAACGTGAGGGATGCATGAGGAGGAAGGAGCCCTGGTGCGATCAGGCTTGAGCAAATAGGTGTCCTTTAGAATGAAACATCAGATAAGTGAAATAAATAGATTTTGGGCCTTCGTTAATACGGCGGATCAATTTATTCATTGCATAGCTCGCCACTGCTCTCTAGTGGACAAAGTCAGCATCACCGCATTGAACTCTGTCCGGACATTTAAGATGAAAAACCTGCTTAAGCGGCGTTTTTGTTTTTATGCGGGATTTGTCTGAATGCGTTTGTGCCGTACCCTGCTGATGATTTCAGCCAGTTCTCTCATCTCACCCCCGAGCCCAGAGAAGCCGCTGAGAGGCTTCAGTAGCCGCTCCTGAAACATAAGAGTTGTTTACCTGAGCTGCTATCTCCACTATTTCTATATGTAAATGTATTTCTATGTGCTCAAAGTGAAGACGTTTACTTCCCCTGAGTTCAGTGTAATTTACCATGTGGTCTGAGTCGAAGCCAGCTCCTCTGAGCGCATCATGGATCGGAGCTTTTCCATCAGGCGTTTGGCCCTAAGACAAAAAGAAGAGAATCCACCCCCACAAGGGAACATGACATGAACAAAGGTTGAAAGAATATTTAGCTCAGAACTGAGAGAATCTTCCAACGTAAAGTATACCTCCATCAGTTAGAGCTGGCATTCTGTAGGAGTTTCATTAGATTTTTTTTCATTCTCGTAATTGTCTCTCATGTTTCGTGTTATTCTGTTTTTTTTACATTTATTTGTGACCACGTTATATCTCTTAATCTCAATCTCCAAACATGTTGACCCTTTTATGACTAAAACTTCTTTATAATGCCACCGAGAGTCGAAACATTGATTTTTAAGGTCAGTGGTGAGGCTTTGTGACTGCTCTAATGCTCTCAGGTCCTTCTAGTAAGAAGAAACTGAAACAAACCCTTTTATTTAATGTAGAAAAAAGGGTTATGGTATATATTTGTATTAATTTCTCAGGATATTCTGTTTGTGCATTTAGCAGACACTTTTATACAAAGCGACTTACACCCTGGTCTCCCATGGAATATGGGAATCAAACATTTGAATAAAAAAAAAAAAAGTAATGCACACAATGTGAGACTACATGATTAAAAAGAATGAATAACTCCAGCTTTAGGCATAACAACCTGTCTGATACCTTCTTGTTGATGGCAGCCTCCTCAGTGGGCCCATTTTTGATGGAGGAAACGTTGAGACCAAACTCTGACGACTCCGCTGCTGCAGAGGAACCGTTCTCCTGCCAATGAATCACATCGGTCAGGGGGGTCAGAAAGCTTCTGTTTTATTTTGGCTCACGTATCTGGCTTATTTTGTTTTCCCATTCATGTACAGTGGTTGCTGTTTTCTTGGCTGCATTTCCACACTGTAGCCCAGAGGATGAGACGATTTTGGGGAGAAGCTTGACAGCTGAACTGGAGTTCCTGAAAACAAAGGTTTGAATATATGATGACAGTTTATGACTCCTATCCCTCCTTTAAAAGAACAACAGAGACAAACAAGATGAGACAGATGGACAAACACACCTCTTGACTGCAATATTTTTGGCCAGTCGGCTGTCACCTTGATGGAAAAAAAGATTAGATAGTGAAATTAGCTCTGTAATTCAGATTTAAATTATTATATGTGACCTCGGTGGTCACATGCCTGTCTCTGTTGTTTTCCTGATAAGTTTGGGGCACTTCTGGAACTTGACGAATTGATAACTCTCGTACTCCATCAGCACCATCTCCAGATCGATGTTGTCACAAACCTCGAACCTCCTCAAACCCCCGTTTGTCTCCTGATCCAAAGCCACTGCTGCTGCTACGTAGCTGTTAAAAAACACAGTTTAAAGATCACAAAGTATTCCAGCCATGGTCAAGGTGACGTGTTGTCTTTAATTGCGTGTGCACAGAAATACCAATTACTTTTTGTGTGCTTGTTTTTGTAACACTAGAACAGCTTTTTAATTAGTTTTTTTTTTTTTTTGCAGCATTTATTATAGAAACTGCTTTTTTCTCCAACACTAACAAGTGTTTGATACTACATCATCCATTCACAATAACTTATGTGCAAGAAACAAATGCAGTCTCCAATGGTATGTGTTTTTGAAAAACACCTTAATACTAAAGATAATTAACTTTGATATTATTAATGGGCAGATGTGCTGACCGTCACCGTCATACTAACCCCTGACCCATCAGATGATGGTAGATCAGCACAAGAAGGCTCTTCCTCCTCATGTCGGTCTTTAGCTCATCCTGTGAAACGGAACATGGCACCATCATCAGCAAAATGTGCTCTTTCCATGAGGAGATGCCCTTCCCCTATTTGTGGGCAGCCTCAGTGTCCCTCTTCACTTTACTGCTCAGTTTTTTATGGATATTTTTTTCAGTCAATGAACTTTGTCTATTCATCAATTACTCCATGTTTGGCTGTGGGCAAGTATTGCCAACAGGGGGAGACAAATGACCAAAGATGACAAGAAAAAAAACAGACGGGAAGCGTATCTAGGCAACAAATGGACGCTGATTCATTGTGACCGAACGCATGAAAAACTAGTATGATTAGCTTACCAGCTAACTTTATTACAGTGAAGCAAACTTTTAACACATTTTGCAAACATGAAATCTAGTCGGGCTTAAATACGCATAGTATAACGCTTGCTGTAATTCAAGACTGTGTGGAGTATAATTTAATTTCAAGTATGGTAGCATTATATTTAGCTTAAGGTTGTTAGCTCGCTGTGTGTTGCCCCTTAAACCTGCTAAAAGCACAACAAAGGGGGGGGCAAAAAGAAAAAAGAGACACTTTGTTCACTCACCGCCTCCCGTGCCCGGTGGGCAATTTTCATCGATTGATAAGATAGTTCCATCATGGCTGAAAAGTCGCTGAGACTGTCTCTGAGACAGCACAGTGCGCCAGCTGTTGGTGTTGGAAACCCTGAGTTTCCCTTCCGGGCCACCGTACCGCACAAGTGCACTGCAGTAGTCAGGTTAGTGTTTATATCTGTCTATGTTTATAACTGTAACGTACTACGGAATGACAATAACTGATTTTATACAGACATTATAAAGTAAATCTTATTCTTGTTCTAGATGCTTTTATTTTTTAACGTTTTTAATGTAATTAACTTTTTCCTGCATCTCTTTATCACATAAGGCAGTCAAAAAGAAGAAGAAAAAAGAAATAATGCTACCCTATTGTCTGGATCTTATCTCAAAAATGGATTGTCCATGGCACATGGTTTTATTCAGCCATTAACATGTATGTTAGAGACTTTTGTTATCATTACAGCGCTCAGCATCTTTTAGGTTGTAATACTCAGTTTTTGTAAACAAAATGCAAATCTGGAAACATTTATTATTTTTTATGATTCTTTATTCAAATTTTTTTTATTTAATCTGACACTGTCAATTTACGTAGTAACGTCACTAGATTGTGTACATCAAATACAACAATTAGCTCACTGCTGTATGTAAACCAAAAAAAACAACATTCTTGTCTCAGAGGAAAATTTGTAGTGTGTTGCAGTCAGTGAGTTCAGCAGCCGGGCTTTGCTTGTATGTTTAGAAGTAAATGAAAACATTTTTTCTTCATTACATACCAATACAACTAGAGTTTATATGCCTCCTTTATTTGCCCCTCATGGGCCTATACGAAAATCAATGAGGACACTAAGGGGATTGAAGGGAACGGTTCTATTTCCAAGTTCCTCTCAATCGATTAGAGCATAGTTTTTATTTGGAGCCTTCAAGCTTTCACATTCAGTAAAATATGTAATAACTTTTATAAACAGTTTTCAGTAAACAAGGGGCAACTTTTTCTGATTTCTGTCCAAATATGAATTGCACACATATTCAGTTTCTCCAAGTACTGCAAAGTTCAGTTTGTCATGTAACTAACACCTTAGCAGTTTCTAAAGAAACTGACATGTATGCGGAGAAAAACGAGAAAGGCTTCTACAAATGAATCAGCGCTGTTGGTCGAGAGCCCAATAAAGAGCGAGTGGATTCACAGATCCCAATCCAAACAGCCCTGGTTTGTGAAAGGGAACACAATTGCACTTTTCAAACTTGTTGCTGTGCTGTTGCTGAGTAGCAGACGAGAACACTCACAGACACATCCACCACAGTAAAAACAACAAGCCTTTCTTAGCTGGCAGGAATATGAGATAAAATATCACCCGTCTTCCAGGCAGCCTCCACTAGCATGTCCTGGCAGGTTTAAGACATTACAAAAAATATGTAGTGCAAACAGGTCAGCTTTAAATGTCTGAGTGGTGGCTGACTCCAAGTCTTTGCTTGTGCTGGTTTTCTGACAATGGTTGAAAATCATCACTAACTAAGCTAAATTCATGACCATTTTCACAAGACTCTCAATTACAGAGAATCTACATGCATATAAACAAGAAATTGGAATTCATAATCAAAATAATAGGCTTGATTATTTTTTGTTTGCTTTATGATCCAAATCAATAATTGCATATTTGTTTTATCCTTGATTGACAATGAATGGAAAAAAAGAGTTTTAAATGTATATGTGTGTGTTAATGTTGCTGGTTACTTAAAAATGTTTTTTTTTTTTCCGGGTTGTGTGTCGTGACTTTTTAAGGGTAATCTCAAATTTGGCAACAATAGCTGTAAGGCCTCAAATCTGTTGATCAAATCCTTAAATAATACTGATCACATTTCAGTTTTTTCTTTCTCCAAACAGACTTAGAACCTGGGTGATTGTAGAGGCAGGATGAGCTCTAGCATGACGGCTTTCAGTTCTCTGCAATATTTTGGACAGTGAGCTGGTTTTTGAGTAGGCAACACATTTATTTGGTTGTTTTGTATTTTGACGAGAATCAGTGCGATGTCACACTGCAATTTTGGAGATGGAATCAAACATTTGCTGTGTGAAAACCTGATCAACTGATGCAAATTGGATTGTCAGACACTGCAGATTAAAAAAATCTTGCAATTTTGCACTTTTAATCATCCATGCAGAGCTATCACATCTCAGAAAACTCCCGCCTCTGTGAGCAGCGTGCTGGCTTCCAGCAGCAGACCCTTAGTGTAAACACGTACAGTGTAGAAAATGGTGAGGAAGTCCTGGGTGCTGAACAGCGTGTCTGCTAAAGCAAAACCCAGCGTGGAGGGGATGAAGCCTCTGCCGTATTCCACCATCCAAGTCCCGGCGCTCCATTGAACCGACGTGGCTTCTCCCACGCCGTGTACGATGGTGTCACCTGTGAGGATGAACAGGGAAACCTGATCAGCGGTAACCTGGATCCATTCACGAGGCTGCAGATTTGAATGAAATCAGTCCTTTACCAGGATAGTATATTTCACTCTTAGTGGTTCCCTCCCTCCATTGTCTAAAAGTGCCAGAAATGATGGTGTCAGAGATCTCAGCCCAGTAACGACCTGACAGACACAGATGGGGAAAAGACACAATTTTTCAATCATTTGCTGATGTAAAATGTCAGTATATTGATAAAAATGTGAGAGGCAAATTGAAAACAAGGTAGATCAATAGTCCTGAATGATTTAATCATCTTTCACGCCCATCTCCAATAAATCTGATAGATGTGTCATTTCCTCACCCGAGTGTCCTCCGGTGTCCACAGCAGTACCAAACAGTATCAAGAACTCGGTAAAAGAGGCATGGAGAACACACATGGAGCCCATCCAGCCTCCGGCGTTCACAAACACCCACTGCAGGTCCTCATCTGGCAGGATGTGACCAGGGTACCTGGTTTAGATACAATTATTAGTTGCT